TGGGGAATTATTTATGGTGGAGGCTTACACAGAGGTAAATTGTGTTCTTTTAAAAGAAAATTCTATTAGTAAAAGCAAGGCACAGAGGCGTACTCCTTTGATCCCAGCATGCCTGAGGAAGAACCAGGCAGATCACTGTAAATCCAAGTACAGCCTGGTCTACATAGGTAATTCTGGGCTAGCTGGGGCTGCAGGAAGACCCATCTCAAAAAAGAACAACAAAAAAAATCCTATTGGAAAAAATTTACAAAATATAGAAATATTAGTTGTAAACTCATCAGTAAAAGATTTTCTCTTTCTCTAAGATCATTATAAAGAAATAGCCACTTGATCGCATCCAAATCCTAGTATAAAATAAGTATATTTAATATCCTTCAAGAAATAAATGACAGTGGATTACACGCAGTGAGACAGGCCTGTCATCCCAGCCTTTGGGTGGTAGAGGAAGGAGGACCAGGATTTCAAGGCCACCTTGCTCTACACGAAATCCATCTTATAGCAACAACAACAAAATAATACAAATTAAAATGATTTTTAAAAAATATGAAAAGGAATTTGAAAATATAAATAGCAAATTTATTTAAGACAAATACAGAATTTCTAAGAACAAAAGTATAATTATATTCCTAAAACCATCAATAAATAATTTTATAGCAGATTAGAAGCAAATGTGATCTTCTCAATTTACATGGCTGCACATTAATATGGGAAGTATAAATACATAACTGTGTGTGCATGCATTTATTTGAATATTCATAATTATACATGAAAACCAACTATATGTGTCATATGAGTGTTGGGGATACTAAAACTCATATCTGTTATGATTATCTTGTTACTTCACGTCACCTTAAAATTTTTATTTGGTTTGACACCGTGCATCTTAGAACATACTTCAGAGCTTCTGCTAGGCATTCTACTGCTTATATTGCTATTAGGGGTCATAAGCCTGTTTCTCTCCTTTATCAAACATTTTGCTCAGATACTTTCTTATTCTTGTTGTTCTTATCCATGACCTCCATTTGACATGAGCAAAGCTGTGTGAAATTTTAGGACACTCTTGTAAGGTCATTTCAGCTCCCACACCAGTGTTAGACTCTGAATGGTTCCACAAACTCACAGGTTAGATGAGCCACCGTCAATCCAGTTCCATTTCTTCTCCTGTTTATCATATGATAATCCTATCCAGTAACTGTTTCCATTTACCTGGGATCGAAGGCGGTCCTGTAAAGGAAATAAAATCATCTTATGATAAAGTTCTCATCTGTGAGCTGACTAAACAGAACAACAGGAAAGGGCAGGGCTGTTCCTGTCAGTTCTCTGCTGCCCTGTCCTCTCTCCCCTCAACCCTCCATTTTTCATTTTCTAAAGTGATTTTTCCATTGGTAGAACAGGTAAGTCAAAATTAGTTTCTATTTCACAAGTAATAAGAGATAAAGATTAGGTATCTAATAATTCCTTAAGCAATTTGTGACCATGACTTCTTTTTTGAGACATGCTCTCACTCTATAGTCCACTCTGGCTTCAAATTTTCAATCCTCCAGGTTCTGGCTTCCAAGTACACAGGCAAATCTGCCTCATTGTATTATTTTGTTACTTTAAAGAAACATTCAAACTCTTGTTCCAGAAGAATAAGGGCTGTGGGGAAGTGGTCATTGCATCATCTTAAGGGACAGGAAGGATCATCAAACCAGATTAAGATGAAAAATGCATATGAAAAAAGTGCATCAAAACTCCATTTTTCACAGAGGAAACATTTCAGTTGTTCAATGTCCAGATGATATAAGAATAAGAAGGAGAGATATTTGTGACTTAAATATCTTATAATGTGATTAAATATGGTATCACAATGCTAAGAAGTCTAAACTTTTTTTTAAATACAGGTTTTAATTTAACAACATTACTGCATCATTAGAAAGTAATTTCACTATTTGTGATTAATAATTATTTTAAGTTATAATTTTTAAAATCTTTTAAATTTGGGATATTTTTGCATCATTTTTATTTCTAAAGAAATATAGGTTTCAAGATGATCCTTGCAAGTTATTCTCTATAAAAACATATTCTGGGGCCATAGAGATTACTCAGTGATTAAGAGCACTGACTATTCTTTCAGAGTACCCAGGTTCAGTTCCCAGCACCCACATGGCTGCCAACAACTGTCCGTAACTTGAGTTCCAGGGGATCTTGACACTTGTCTAACATCCTCAGGAACTGCACGTATGGGTACACTTACATATCTGTAGGTAAAACACACATACACAGAAAATAAAAATAAGTAAATATTTTTTAAAAATCACCTTCAATTTATTTAGTAATAAATTTAGAACAGTTTGGTATCAAGGCCACTATATTGTCTCTTCTAGTAATTCTGTTTCAAGGATAGACAATTTTATACAGTACTTAAGAATACTGATGACGTAAAGGTTATGGATGGATGCAATACCACCATGGGGCTTACTGGTGAAACCGTCATGACTTCCATGGTCTTTACTGTCATGCCTGTTTGCAGATAGAACCACAGAGGTCAACTACTTTACACAATAACTGGCTGGTAAAGGACAGAGACTGATGTCTTCCTAGCAACCTCACATCTGGTTTCTTGATAGTAACCCAGACTTTTCTCTGTGGGGTTTTAGTTATCATTCTATGAAGATAAATGATGGGTGATAGCAGGCTGAATTTGCCAAAGGTTTAAACTGATCCAATGAAAGCATGCTTCTCTGTGAGACTCTCTTGTAGACTCCTTTAGAAGGGAGGCTATTGCAAATCCCAACTGCAACCTTATTAACCAGGCTTATCATAATAGATGAGGTGTGTGAAATGCTTACAAAGTAGCAGGCCAGAGTCTCTTGGGAGAATTAACTGCCAAATTTCTGCTTATATTACAGATAAAATACACAGCACTTGAACAGTCTTCTTTCTAAACTCCTCCCTGGCCTCATCATCTTACTATCCAAGGGTAACAGAGTACAAGAAAATAAAGTGTATTTAGAGTCTACAGTACCTGTTCATCACTGTCATCGATTTTCAAAAGGGATAAACTGTATTTGTGGCAAGTCTGCCTACATCCATTCCACGATTTACTGCCCATGATAACATAATAACATTTTGTGCCACAACAGAACCAATGTCCTTCAACGTGTTTGCCTGTAACATTGAAGATGAATCATTAGACTCTTATCTGGTAATCTGTTAGAGCAATGAGTTTATTAAGCCTCTATAACTAAATAAAATCTCACAACTCTTAAAACTTAAGCTTTTCTCATATCTTATAACTCTCACAAATCAAAATTCTAGAGTGCCAGGATTCTCTGCATGCCCATGTCCCATGCAACATTGTTTATAAAAGCTAAGATATACAAAAAAATTCAATGTCCAATCACTGAAAAGAGGGTAGAGAAAATGAAGCATAGCTACATGGAAGAATATTATTTACCGTTGAAAGGAAGAAAATCCATCTGGGAATGGTCAAGCACACCTATAAACCCAGTCTAAAGCAGGAGATCAGCACCATTTTGAGTCCAGACAGCCCAGGATACAGAGTTAAATCTCTCACCTCTCTCATAAAAAGAGAAATCCTAACATATGTGAGAATGTGTATGAACTTGAGAAAATAATGCTAAGTAAAACAAGCCAGGCACAAGATAATACTTCATGATTCCATTCACAGGAGGTTTCCATTCACAGGAGGTTTCTATCATAGCCATAATCTAAGAAACAGAGGCTTAAGACACTCCATACTAGAGGTCGGTACATCTGGACAGTTTTAGCTCAGACAGTTTCAGTTACACAAGATGATTAAATTTTAGAGATCTGCTGTAACAGAAAAGTTCTCCAAATTCTATTCACTTAAAATTTTGTTCAGATGTATGCTAAGTGTTCTTACCATAAAAGGAAAAAAAGAGATAGATGATGAAGCATTTGAAGAAGTTAGTCTGTTTTCCTGATTGTGGTGATGGTTTCACCGGTATGTCTGCATTCCCAAACTTATGAAGTTGAATACATTACACTATGTGCCATTTTCTTGAACAATAATACCGCAATAAAATTGAGATAATTCTGTGATGCTTGGGTTAACAACAGTCTCCTAGTTGACTCTATGTCCAGCCCTTGTTTTCCTAGGTGACAAAGTAGCTCAGTCTGGTTTTGAACTTGCTCTGTACCCGACGATGATCATAAACTTGCAATCCTCCCGCCTCAGTTACCTAATTGCTCAAATTATAGCATTATGCCCTTTTATACAGATAACAAACTTATTTTAAGATTATAAACTAAAATATTTTTATTTCAGAAATGCCAAGAGGATCATTTTAGGAGTTTTTTTACTTTCATGTATTTTATAGTGTACCAGTTTTAAAATATTATTGATCATTTAATAGTGAAGATAATCAATTCCTGCTATCATAGAAGAATGAGATTATATGCAAAGCTCTTTGTAAACTAAATCCTGAACAAATGATGACTAATTATTGATTAGTGAATTAAAGATAACCAGCCACTATGCAAAATAGAAAAGTTTATTGATATTTCATATCATCATCTCTTGGGCATGATTAGTGGCATCATTACAAGCAGCTGCACAAGGGTGGACGCTATGATACAGCTAATGTATGTGCTGCAGAGAGGATATTATGGTCACAGGTCAACTATCTGAAGCAAAGACAGAAAGAAAACACACACACACATACACACACAATTATTTTCATAATTGCACTCATATAAAAGCCTTTGAGCCATTTTTACCCTAATTGTTTAGTAAATATACTCTTACTGACAGCTTCCATATTCCATGTCACAAACAAAGTGGGAGACTGAGATTTGATCACAGGAGCAAATTGACCTGAATTTTCAGGGGAGATGACACAGTATTTCATCTCCTACAGGCAACGGGAATACCAGACTGGCCCTGAGTGCTAGAAACTATAAGGTTCTACAAATCTGAACAGGTTTGCAAGGCTACAGTTCTCTACCTGAAAGAAGGAAACCCCTTACATTTAAGAGATCCACATTGCCCATGAACCCACAGGTCACGAGCTCATACATTGTATGTTACGTCTCAAAGCTTTGAGAGATGAACTAATACAAAATATATTTAGTATTTTATTCAAGATTTCCTCCATACCTGTAGACTTTAAACAGTTTAAAATGATCTTATTGTTCCCATGACATATCTTCCTTTCTGTTAGGTTTTTGAGGTTCTCATACTCTTTAGACTTATTTTTCAACATTTTTTCCTTTAAGTTCATATCATATTGCAAGTTGAGATACTTTTCACTGACGTTTTCCAGGTTTTTTTGAAGTTTATTTTGTTCTTGATCTGAAATTATAGCAGATATAAAGCACAAGAATGCTCATAAGGAATAAGTACTGATATTTAAAGTAAAAGAAAAAAACCTCGTGTTGACAGCCAACACATATGTTACTTTCATAGTACTGTAACATTTAGAAAATAACACCTTACATAACTCATCATAAAAATAGAAACATCAAATTTTTCACTATAATAAACTTAACTTGTGAAATAAATATCTGAATAAAAAATATGATGAAAATACCTTACTTTTCATTTCCTTCATTTTTTTTCACAGTTAACACAAAATTTTCAAATAAGTATAAATAAAAAAATTCAGTCTGTTAAGACTTAATATACCATGAAAATCTGAACTAAGAAACAGTTTTAAAAAATGATAGAATTAGTATTGGAGCAAGTCATAGTAGGAAAAAGCACAATCTGGCTATGTAATTGTATTTGATCACAGCCTATTAGTGATACTCTCTAAAAATGTAAGAATTCAAGTACAAGATAAAACTTAAACTAAAGATCTTATAACATGCACATACAGATTTATTCTTTTGCCTTAGCCAGTCTTTAAAATAAACGTAGGAAAAGATCTAAAGAAAACTATAATTTCTTTTGAACAGCTGTTCCTCAAAGAATGTTTATATCAGATTCACAGTGATCTGAGCTCAGAAGGCAGACTATCACTCAGTCCTCTGTTATCAGAAGGAATGTGACTGTGCGTAAGGTAAATTGAGGCAGCTGATCACTGCCCCAGAGTCATCTGAACAGGTGAGAGGAAAGGACACTACGATGTGCCTAGGAAAAGAAAAGTGAGCCTCTGAGGATGTCGAGATCCCGCTGGCACATCCTGTGATTATAGACCAGACAATAGATGGCACTTGTTGGTAACTACACAATTGGTGTCTAATGTTCTTACTTAAACCAAAAAGATGTATTTTATTTACTCACTCTGTGTCACAAACACTACTACAACTGCCATCAGCAGAAGTAAACTAAGGACCCCGAGAGCCACGGTGACACGATGCCAGGGCACTGTGCACTCTTAAATAAACAAAAGAAAGCAAGAAAATCATCACAAGGGAAAGAGCTTGACATGCCATTAACCAGGACTTGAGACAACAGGGCAAAAAAACAGACAATCATTTGTAAAATTTTTCACAGATCCATCCTACACACTGACTGAAATTGCAGTGCCAATATTGTAGATTTCTGGCTGACATCCATCCATCGTGGAAAGTCTATGCACAGGAGCAGTTCCATAGGATTTCATTGTTTTATTGTTCACTTTGGTCTTGACCTCTCAGTCTTCCCCATTCAGCTTCACAAGCAGATAGAATGACAGTCATGTGCTGCCTGGCCTGGGTCTATAGGATTCCAATGGTGCATCTTTCACAGAGCATGGAAAACAATAGGTCTGATGCCTGTAGGAGAATCCAAACTAGAATGTGAGGTGTGCATTCCACCAAGAGACCACAACCAAGCACACAGAGGAAGGAAAGGTCAGCAAATGTTCTTGAAAAATTTGTAGGCAGTAGTGGATACTCTGCAGCAGAACTACGGTAGGGGCCCATCATAGAAATCAACTTACTGTTCTTTTCCACAAATTCTACTTTCTCTAGACAATACTGCGTTTGTACTTGTGCATTTGAGGCCTTTAGAGCCTGAAAGCCATACTTTTGATCACCACCATATAAAGAAGCATGTATTCAACTGATAGTTTAATTGTGACAGTATTTGAAGGGTAGATGGAAATAAAAAACAGAAAACAGCTCTGATTCAACGATTTTGGCAGCTTTGTTATTATTAAAGTTTGATAAATAAGACCCTTAAAACATCTTTGGTTCACACTGGGTATGGTGGTGTGCATTTTTAATGCCTGTCTTAGGGAGGCAGAGGCAGCTGGACCTCTCTGAGATCAACAGTGGGATGGGACTAGGGAGACCCTGTCAAAAAACCACACACACACACACACACACACACACACACACACACACCCTCAGTTCAAGTAAAAGCAATTTTTTAGCACATACTTTTTATTTCTTTAAAAGAGTTTGTCAGGAACACTCAGTGTTTTTTCAGAGTCTACTTTGTTATTTACTTTAAAGGGTTCATGAATTTTTCTTGACTGGATTTGAGTAAAAACATCCTCATGGTCTCTCAAATTCAAAATAATTTATTTACTTCTTCATTCGTTTTCTTAAAACAAAAAGACCATTGTTCTTCTACTCTGGCCATTGTGTACCAGCCGAGAACCAAATGTGCAGGCAGGATGCTGTTTTCAAACATCAAACATGTACAGTGTATAAGAAACAGAATTCATCTACCTTTGTGGTCAGCTTCTCTGGGTCCTTCAGTATCACCGGATCTTACTCTGTTCTGTATTTCTGAAGAAGACTGTAGAAATCTCACCGTTGCGTAAGTCACCTCCTGGTTGCTCATCTTGGGAGTAAGTGAAGCTGTGTTTGGTATAAAACTCTTGCCTTGATTTTCTGTCTTTAAAAGGTTAAAATATTGGCCGGGCATGGTGGCACATGCCTTTAATCCCAGTACTCAGGAGGCAGAGGCAGGCATATCTCTGTGAGTTCAAGGCCACCCTGGTCTACATAGTGAGTTCCAGGACAGCTGGGGCTACAGAGAGACCCTGTCTCAAAAAGACCAAAAAAGGTTAAAATGTCAACGTTTAGGAACATACCAGGATCTGATGCACTGGGAGGTAAGGGGTGGGTTTGCTAAGGGATTACTAATTCCTTTATGGATCTGAATCATATGAACTGAGCCTGATTTATGCAAGATGTAAAAAGTCTTTTGCTATTATTTATATCATTTATACTTCTAGTTGTCACAATAATTAGGAAATGTGGAAAGAATCTTAAAATCTGCTAATAAATCATTTCAATTATTGACAGAGCCAATTTTGTTCCAAATACTCAGCCTACATAAAAACATCAGGGAAAATTGGTACCACCTTAAAACACGGGAACAGTTTGTTTTGTGTTTTCTTTGTTTCGCTTTTTTTTTTTTTTGAAACAGGATCTCCCTGTAGCCCCAGGTGGCCTGGAACTCACTATGTAGACCAGGCTGCCCTCCATCACACAAAGATCCACCTGCCTCTGCCTTTCGAGTAGTGAGATTAAAGACATGCACCACCATACCCAGAGAAACACAGAAACACGTTTAAACTATCAATTCAAATACAACATTCAAAACTTTCTGAAAAAATATCTTTTTTCAAAACTTTTACATATATTCTGATAAACACGTCAGTATGAAAATGATCTTGTAGTCTTTTGAGTTACGGATGTTTCTACCAGACTTTCATAGATGCTATCTCCAAAACCTTGTTTAAAGGTTAGTACTGCAGGTGATTAAAATTGTGAATTACAAAGTTTGATAAATAGTTGTTGAGTTGAAGCCCAAACACCTGTATTTTTAATTCTAAATGAGTCTATGTATATGAACATTTCGTCTACAATATTGTAGTCAATGATGTTTCCAGAGCTGTGTATGTAAAAATAAAATTTGTCGATAGGTTTTCATTATCTAATGTCCATAAAGGACTCATCTGATAAGGGATACCAATATAGAAATAATTAAATAATACATACTTATAATTTGCATTTATTCTTATATTAATCAGTATGAGAAGGCGAGGTCTAATAATCAGGTAATATGGAAAACAAATTGTTCATGTATTCCTTTCAAATTATTTTAATCTATGAAATTTTCTAAACATTTCTATTTTTCTTAATTTCTTTAGAAAGAGTCTTTCCTATCAGAATTCTTCAAGGTAGGTAAGATAATCTGTAAATCATTCAACCCAATTCAAAAGTCAGTAACTCCACAAATACCCTCTTCCTCGTTCTCTTAACTCATTAAAACCCACAGCACATCAAGGAAGAGAAAAAGCCTCTTCATGAACGTGAACTCCAGTTTTCACAGAGCTAATGCTGTTCTCACAGGATCAATAAAGACAGCTTCCCTGTCAATCTCACTTTCCTGCCACACCGTCTGGATATCTGAAGTAATAAAAACAGCTTTTACCTGAATCTCAGCCAGGCAGCGATGCAGGTGGAGAGAAGTGGTCCCAGTGAGGACAAGCAGGCTCTGTGTCCTGAACCCCTCAGAGGCTCCAAGGTGAAAGGCAGAAGTGCGTGGCCACTGACTGATCCTCCAGCACAAAATCTTCTGCCCCTCCACGTGACCAAAGTGAGAAGAGGAAATTATGTGATGAAAGCTCATACTGTCACAGAAGTCAAGACGGTGACCAGCTACATAGTCCTCCATGAGAAATAAGTACTTGACGTGTGCCAAAAACGTTCAAAACCAGTAGATGAAGACTGAGCAGATAAAGGAACATGTCTTTAGAAAAAAAAAAAAAGCACCAATATCTTTAGCAGAAATCGAAGATGCTTACAGGAAAACACTAGGAAGAAATGCTGACTAAAACATTTATGTATTTATATGTATGTGGAAGAAATGGTGTGAGTACGGTCGTCATCTCCACACTTTACCAACTGTCAGAGATTCTCTGTTATTTAAAGAGATTACTTCAGTTTTTTGAAATATGTTTATTGCAGCTCAGTATACTTTAGGAATGCCTTTAAACATTCACATTTCACTGTGAAATTCTTGCTGTATTCTTCCAGGTTTTTTTTGTTTTGTTGGTTTTTTGAGACATGGTTTCTGTGTAGCCCAAGCTGGTCTGGAACTTGCTGTAGAGACCAGGCTGGCCTCAGTCTCATAGAGATCAACGTGCCTCTGCCTCCTGAGTGCTGGGATGACCATGCCGGGCTTCCAGTTTTTTATCTATACATAGTGTTTACTGTGGAAGTTGGTGTTGGTCCATATTCAGTGGTGCTGGGCATCAAACTCAAGGCCTTGGGCCTGTGAGGCCAGTGCTATACCAGGCAGCCACAACCTCAGTCTTTGGGGTTTGTTTATTTTAATGTTTTTGTTTTTGTTCTGAGTTTTTTGTTGTTGTTGTTTGTTTTTTAAACACAGGGTCTTGTTATGTCACTGAGAATGGTCTCAAATTACTTTGTGGCACAGGCTGTTCAAACTCAGGGTCCTGCCTCTGCCAGTTCAGCACCAGGATTATAACTCTATACAACCATGGTTTACACCCTGGTTTTGATCAATTGTTTTCTAAGTAATAAGCATTTCCTCATTTTATAGATATTCAACTACACTTTCCTCCAGACTACTGCATGTTCTCAACATAGGACCTACTCTAGGCTGTGTCTCGTCTGACCTGCTTCTATCCCCTTACGTGGTCCTTAATCTTCTAGATCTCTGAGTCACCACTCAAATCTGCCACTTGTCGGCACATACCAGAGGTCAGCCAAAATACCATCCAGTCATTAATTCATCTCAACAGTATACGTACAGGTCCTTGGATGGACTGTGGATATTCAGAACTTAAGCTTTTTAAAATCATATGTAATTATTAACTACTTGTATATATTATAATTTAGACAATTACAATCCCTTACTTTTGAATTCTTGTCATTTACGATATTTTTTTCTTTTCCTGTTTCTTTTTTCTCTTTCTTTCTTTCTTTCTTTCTTTCTTTCTTTCTTTCTTTCTTTCTTTTATTTTGTTTATTTTTGTTGTTATTATGAGCTTAAAAACGATTTGGTCCATAGCCTGGTGAGATGGCTCAGCAAATAAAAGCACTTGCTGCACATACCCAACAACCAGATCTCACAGTAGGTTAGAATCATCTCCCAAAAGTGGTCTTCTCACCTCCACATACATGCACACACACACACACACACACACACACACTCATACACACCCCACTCAGAAGCAAGGCACTCATACATATAAAATAAAAATAAATCCTTTTTTTCACAAAGAAAAGTCAAAAACAGGTGACAGTGCTTTGGAAGCACCAGGGGGAGGGAGCTAAAGAACAGAAGAGGAACTGGTTATGTAGGCAAGACTGACACCCACTTCTCTGGGCCCTGGCTCAATCCCCTGCTTGTTCTTCCTTTACTGACACCTGGACAACCTTTGCCCATCACTCTTCAGAGGCTTCCTCATCCTTCAGTGGCCCCTGTGTCCCAGCTTCCCTCCAGACTACTGCATGTTCTCAACATAGGACCTACTCTAGGCTGTGTCTCATCTGGCCTGCTTCTATCCTCTTAATGGTCCTTAATCTTCCAGATCTCTGAGTCACCACTCAAATCTGCCACTTGTCAGCACACACCAGAGGTCAACCGAAACACAGTCCAGCCATAATTCATCTCAGCAGTGTAAGTACAGGTCCTTGGATGGAGCGTGGAAGCTTTGAGAATCCCTGCTGTTAGGCATTTCCTTTTCCACCCTCTCATCCAGGATTAGAAGATCCCAAGCCTTGTCCTTAAACCTAAGGAATAAATAGTTATTGTCAGAGAGGATCAGAGGTAATCTATGGTTGAGGAAATGGCAGAGACACCACCATCAGAGGATGGCCCGTGTCATGCATGACCATTTTGAAACCTCCCCAAACTGGCAGTGGTTTTGTCTCCCTTTTCCAAAAGAAGAGACCAAAGGTAAAGTAACTTACTTAAGGGCATGTCTTTGCTACTCTTGACCTAGCTTTAAAATAAGGAATTTCTCAGTACATAGACAATGGACAGACTATAGACTCAAAAGGGCCTGGATTTTCAACAAAGATGAAACCATGAGTTCCAAAACGGAGGAGACACTTCCAAACTGGAGGAAATACCAGCCTGAGCTCCTTGATGACTTCAGCTAAGTCTCCATATCCTCTAAGTCTTGGATTCACCACAGCACAATGGCAGTGCTAGTTCCCTTCATGGTTGATGTGAGGATTAAACAATGTAAATAGTGCTTGACTGTAACCTGGCAAATATGTGGTAGGCTTTTATTGAAGATTAAATCGTATTATTGGAAGTTAATATTCAAATCCTTCTTAGTAGTAGAAATTTGAACAAATGACTCTGAACGTTCAAGCCTTGGCTTCTTCACTTGATCACTGAGGGAAACACAGTCCTGGGATGGTTAAATGAAAGGAGCACTATAGATAGGATTTCCTGGAATTCAAAAAATATATTTGCAGCCAGATGTGGTTGCACTTGCCTTTAATCCCAGTACTCAGGAGGCAGAGGCATGCAGATCTCTGTGAGATTGAGACCAGTCTGGTCTACGTATCGAGTTCCAGGCCAACTGTGGCTACAGGGAGACCCTATTTTTAAAAGACAGACAGACACACACACACACACACACACACACACACACACACACATATGCTTGAATATGGCTTGTGTCCATCAAAATTTGTGTTGATCCTGGCACGATGGCACACTCCTGTCATCCCAGTACTTGGGAGTCTGAGGCAAGAGTTCCAGGACACTTTGGTCTACACAGTGAGTAAGTTGTCAGCCTTAAGTACTAGTGAGACCCTCTCTCCTGAAGAAAAATATTAAGCAAAAGCACAAACTGCACAAAAAGGCGGGCCACCCTTCCTGCTCTCTTGCCTCTACACACCTGTCTGCTCGCTGCCTTCACACAAGATGAGGTGACCAGGCCTTGAACCTTCCAGCCTCCAAAAGCCTAAGACCCACACTGAGCTCAGTTCACTGTCCATATCACAGCAGGTGTGCAGGTCTTTAGAAGAAGATGGCAGAGATCTACATGAGCAGGATGAGGAAGTGGGAAGTTTACAGCGATGAGCCACAGCAGCTCTGGAAAATCCACCTTGTGATTTCAGATCTGGGACTTACACATGATGCTCAGATAAATATTAAGTACATTGAGGTATTTTTAACTTGCATCCTTATCTCTGGTGACAGGATAGATCATCTTCGGGATGGAGGCTAAGCATTATGTAGCATGCTTCTTCGCATGTTTTACATACTTTGCCTCCTTTGACATGGCTTAGTCTGCAAGCATGACTTCCAGACCTGCTCTGTCCATTACTGTGACCACAGTGTATACAGGAGAGAGGGGGCCAAACAATGCATTTTGTGAATAAGGAGGAAAAAGGTAAGAAGAACTGACTATAGGATTTTAACTTTAGCTTTAGAAAGTCAGACAATACAAATCAATATAAAGTCTAATAGTGTAGCAGCTCTCTTTGAGCTCTATTTGCTGCTTTATGTTATTAGCACATATTAATTATGTCATCAGTATGTTTCGTGATGACATTTTCATATGTATGTAATGTATTTGTATTGATCTTAAGGTCACTGATCTCTCTTGTCCACCTCCTATTTCTGTTGAGCTCCTTCCTTTTTCTGACTGGTCTCTCCTCTCATCATAATGAGAGAGAGAGAGAGAGAGAGAGAGAGAGAGAGAGAGAGAGAGAGAGAGAGAGGCCTAAGAAGTTTAGAGTTCTTTATAAGAATATGGATGAGGGGTTGACAAAGGAAAGTAAGTTCTTTAGATGAAGACAATGAGTATTAAAAGGTAAGAGTCACTTCAGATGGAATTGATGCAAACTCCGTATATGACTCTTTGGTCACAATGCAGTACAAATGGGAAGTACCAAACTCTATCACACTGAGCTAATGAAACAGAAAGAGGATAAAGATCAAAACTGTTTTAGTTTTCTTGAAACAAGTCTTCAAAATTCACTTCTGCACAGAACACACACACACTTAAAACACCCAGAGACACACGAATATTTTTTTCTGCTGCTTTGCTGAAAATGCCCTTTTTATTTGGGAAACCTTATCTTCTGTCCATTCCTTGCTGAGGAAACAATTAGCTAAAAGTCTTGCATACAGCTCTAATCACACCTGCAAACCCTCCAGTCACATCCTCAGACCTCAGTGGCTTCATAAGTTCATAGATGCAAGCTGTTCTTCCTGTCCCAACCTGAGGTGATGGATGTCTGGAATAACCACCAGCTCACTGGGAAGATGGGCCGAATCACTTCACTGGGAGAAGCAGGTAGTCTCTGTGGCAGCTGATTCATTTATCTTAATGCCTATTTGTGTGTGTGTGTGTGTGTGTGTGTGTGTATGTGTGTACATGTGCATGTGTACGTGTGCGTTTTGGGGGCGGGGGAGATTTGGTTTGGTTGATTTTAGACAGGACCTCTCTGTAGCCAATAGCTGACTTGGAACTTGACCTGTAGACCAGGCTTGCCTCTCTCTGATAGAGAT